TTTGCTTTTTATTCCTTCGCTTTCATCGTCATCGCCTTTTGCTATCATCTTCTTCTACTCTTCATCGGCGCCAGATTGTAACAAGTGGATATATACACGTTACAGTAAAACCTGTCAAAAACGGAATCCCATGGTAAAAATATTTTTTCCACAATTGACAAGAATTCCACTATTCAAAGGTTCCATTATTGACAGGTTTTTGAGTCGAACCAACATGATTTTCCATTATTGAGGGTAAAAAGAAACAAAAAAAACCAAAGCATGCATTTTTATGGGTGTTTAATGATCAAATCAAGTGATATAATAATCGTGAGAAGGAAATACTGAAATAAAAGTATTTTTTAATAAATGAATGAAGGAAAGAACGAAAAATGAAAAAAACAGTGAATGACAAACATTATTATTTGAAACAATCAAGCAGTCTAAACAGTGACTCAAAATGAGAAAGTAAATTATACTTATTTTTTGCACTGCCAAAATGGCAGCGATTCTGCATTTCACGAAATGATTCCAAACTTACTGTAACTATACTGAATTGCACGCGCCAATTTAGTGGATGTGTTTTTAATGGGAACGTCAAAAATTTATTTGCAGGCAATAAGCAATGATTTTGGCAGACGAATGTAATACATGATACTGAAATCAATGTAATGTACATTGTACTGCAGGATTTTTATGATGATCATTGGTTTTGATAAAGGAAAAAAATATAGTTTTAAATGAAAAAGACACAAAAAAAACGAAAAAAAAATTTCGCCAAGAATTTTTTTTCCACTATTCGGAGTTTCGGTTTTCCGTTATTAACAGGTCAATTTGTATGGGAGAGCTCAACGGCCAAAATTTTTTTCCACTATTGACACGATTTCCACTATTCCCAGGTTCCGTTATTGACAGGTTTTACTGTACTACATCATCAAGGGGACTCACGATTTGTTCATGTCATAATCCAGAGTAGGAATGGTAGAAAAATTATCAACGCGAATACAAATCAGCTTATCTAGAAGATATCATCATTAAACGAAAATTATCAGCTGCCGTGTTAACGTCGCTCATTCATTCGTTCGCCAACCATACACACACACATACTGGCTACTCTCACTTTGCTTCACGTCTCGTTGTCGAGCGAAAAATATCTAATCGTATTCAAGATGTGGAAAAACATGCAGTCATAAACGAATTTGGTCATATTTTGTATCTATAAAAGGCGGTTTATGCGAGAATTCGTGTTCTTTCGTGTATTTTTGTTGTTGTTGTTGTTGCTGCTGCTGCTGCTGTGAGAGATACTCATGAGAAGACTATAAGAAAACTCTTACATATTTGCATCGGATCAGCCGAAGGGAGAGAAGAAGAAACAGAAGAGCGACAACACATTCGGAGTCAGGTGAACAATCCTCGATTCAAATGCTCTCATCGAAAGCAAGCAAAGCTTGTGAATAATGTATCAATCAATAACAGCACGAAATACATACAGATCGGCAAAATATCTCATTGATTAGGTGTTCGCCGTGCTTTCTCTCTCTCTCTCTCTCTCTCTCTCTCTCTCTCTCTCTTTCTCTCCCTCTTCTGCGAACATATGACGATGAATATAAAAATGGAAATGGGGAGAAGGAAAAAATAACCATCTCTGCCAATGGCAACAGCTTCCAATTATGAGATTCACCTAATATCAAATAAAATGTGAAAAGAGCAAAGGAAAAGAAAAAGAAGAAGAAGAAGGAGATGAAGGAAAAGACTACGAAAGGGAAAAGCAACTATCCAAAATTGCAGTCGATGTGCACACATGCACCATAATGAATGCTTTATTTAACATGAATGTATTATGAATGCGATGAATCGCATCGAACAGCATCACCTGCAGAATAGACTTTCGTTTCTATTTTGTGTTCCTTTGACTGGCCTCGTCGTTTCTGCATCACAGCACATATAATCGCTGTTTCACGCCGAAAAATGCTCTCGACATCGTTGAATCGAATTTTTGGCTGCGAAAGATGGAACAGCTGGCCTGTTGTTACACCGTCATTTTGTCGAAAGGCGAAGACATTGAGTAATCGCGCTGCATATTGACGATCGATATATGAATCGACAAAAATAGGCACAGATGAAGCCAGGCAAAGCAATGATGGAACTGAAGAAGAAGGAGAAGGAAAAGGAGACGATGGTGGCGGTGACGGTGGTGCGAGTCGGTCTCTCATCCAATCACGACATCCAATGTTGGGCCAACAAGTTCTCAAATCATTTCGAAATTGTTTTTGCATATGTTTTTCCATTGCTTGATTCATTTGTATTGACGGACGGTTCTCGACACCGAGAGAGAGAGAGAGAGAGAGAGAGAGAGAGAGAGAGAGAAAGGGTGAGCATGGGATGTATGTCTATTTGTTTTGCACAGATTTCCCAGTTTGCCAACACTCAGCAACCTTTAAATATCCATATCATGGCTCGAATCAATATTATGCCAGTTATTTATATATTCAACTTTTTTTGTGCTCATTCCCATTCCCCGTTCTCCGACGCTCGTGTTCACTCTTATGGTCTTCACATTCACTGTTGTCGGGCCTGTGGTGTAATGCTGCTCTGTTATAGATTAAGCTTCAGTTTCGAATAAATTTCCAAGCAGTTATACTTGGTACGGATTCCCTTTGAGTCCAATTGTGAATTTCAATCATATTGGACGGTCCGGATGTTATTGCATTCTGACACACACACGCACAGTAAGATGAGGAAAAAGAAACATCAGCGACCGGCGAAATGGCCAACGATGAATATGAAAATAAATAGCAAAATCTCGTATTGCTCTCATTGCGCAGCATTCGCAATTCCTTATTCAAATCACAACTTCAAGCACTTCGATTTAATTGGTAAAATTGAAGCGTTCCATACCACAAATTATTTATTTGAATTCCGTACAACGTTTGCAATGCACAAAGAGTGTGAGAGTGAGAGAATTTCGTTTCATTTGTTGCTGGAAATGGTTTGATTGATTCGCCATTATTCGAATGCCATTTCGAATGAGTTAAAACTGTAAGCGATGTTGACTGAAGTCACACAAACAAATACACACACACTTACCCCATATCAACCGAATGAGAAAGATATTTTATGATCATTTTATTGTTGCGAAGGAGCAATGGAAAAATTATTTGCTTCTCGCGCAGACGAAATAAATGCGGGTCGAATGAAGAGAATGAGCGGAGAAAAAATAGAAATGAAGCTAAATTGGCACCAGCTTTGCACGATAGTCAAGAAAAATACCAACGATAATGCTACACGCAAACCGAGATCACTCGGTATATCTACATGGCACGTGAAGCGGATTTCCGTATTTGCGTTGAACCAATCACTGCATACACACCCTGACCGCATCTTTTAATATATTGCCGTTCTCCATTATTTTATTATTCACTTAGCATTTTAAATTGAAAAATAGTGGCTTCTCTGCTCAGTTCAGTTCAGTTCAGTTCAGTTCAGTTCAGTTCAGTTTTGTTCGATCGATTTGCTGATATATTTACTGTGAGCACTTGCATTTTTAATGTCATTGCCTCTCCTACACACAAACACTTCCAATGGCATAATGCCCGTATAGACGAAGGAATGCGTTCGAACACAAAATGCGTTCAATATTCAAATGAAATGGCGTGGCGCGGCGCGCGTTGAAAGTTGAAGAACACACAAGCCAATGAATTTTTCATTCGAAATGATTGAATTGATGCTGTAAAAAGTGGCGGCGAGAATTTATGTAAAACCACTTTAACCCTTTAGTGAGCAATTTCTCATTTTTGAATGATTCGAATATATTTTATGTGCCGAATCTAACATTTAGTCTATCACTCGGTGGTTCGGAAAATCGATTTTTTCCCAAGAAAATCGAGGAAAACACAAAAACATCGCATTTGTTTTAGAAATGAAAACTCTCCACAAATTAGATATCATCGTCGAAATATTTCGGACATGAAATGGTAGAAAAAAGACTGAATAAGTAGAACATTGTGATTGTTGAAAAAAAAACATATTTATTAGGTGAACACAAATCTAATCAGTTCTAACGAATGAGGTATCAAATGAAAGCTAATCAACCTAATTCCTTCGAAATAAGTATGTAAAAATATTCAGCGATTTCGGTTTTATAGTACTTACTTTCCGCATCTGGTCACCAATACGTGACAAAGGGTTAATCGTGTGGAATGTTTCAGGCGACGCCTGCACATTATATCAATGACAACACCACCAACAACAACATCGATTGCAACAATATAAAACTGAATTTCTTGCATTCTCTTGATAGCTCACACTCAGCATACACACACAAGCAGTGAAAAAGTGTTGAAGTTCTTAAACTTAGCTCTTTCAATATGCATGGATTTCACTCCGACTGAATGGAAATGAACTACTGCAATGGTTGACCAATACATCGAAAAACGAAACAAAACACAAGAAACTTTCCAATTACTTATTTTTTTTATATCGAATGCAGTCAAATATTTTTGTTTTATAGTGTTATTTGGAGGAGAAAGAGAAAAATGTTTATACTGCTTGTAAGCAGAATGTTGTCATTCAACCCTTTCTATTGATCAGTTTTCAAATCGAAAGAGAAGCACAATTTAAAAATGTTATCATTGGTTTTTAGAGAGCAAAAACTAAGCTCTTCGAGATTCCATTATGATAAAACATTTCCAAAAACTTCTCATTGCACTCATTGAAGCGTTATTCAAATAAAAATTAATTCTCACGATGTAGTAGTCCCATTAGCTAGTGACCGTGGCTCAAACTTTTTCGAGACAAATGGATGAAAATGATACGTGTCCAATTTTCAAAAAAAAAACCACCCATCGTATTTCAATGGTACGATTCTTCAGAAGTTATATAAAATTGTTTAAGGTTCTCGTTATGACTTTCTATCGGAACGTAAAAGGAAAGCACAAAGTAGTCTCATTCTCTTTTTTGTCCACGGAAATTCCATAATATCTAACACATTTGTTCCCTCTTTTTGTTCTCTTTTTAATTAGCTAGAAACGTACTTCATGGATAGCAACGGAAGGAGCACAGCATAAATGAAGAGCAAAAAGATCGAAATTTAATGTCTAATAAATAACGCTCAATAGAAACCGTTACGAAATAAAAAAGAATTAAATAAAAATCGAAGTAAGACAAAAGGACGGAAGAGCCAGCGAGCGAGATAGAGAGAACGAGCGGGAGAGCGGAAGAGAGGCGAACAGAAGGGAGTAGTAGCAGAAGCAGCAGTAGCGGAATCCATTGCAATGATATCGTACATATTCGCACGCAAACACAGGAAAACAACAGTGAAAATGAAAACTATTTGCTCAAATTAAATTGTTGCAGAGCGACGAAGTGAAACAAAATATCAAAAGTGTATGTAGTTTGTCGCCCGTACGTTGTATGCAGTCCAATGTTTCTTTTCGGTTGAACGGAACGTGAAACAAAACTGCATAAAAGGAGTCGATTTACGGCTCTAGCCGTTCGTGCATATTGGACGAATTCATCTCAAAAACCTAAATGTGCTGAAGTGCAATTTGTTTCGATAGCAACAGCGAAACGCAACGACAAACAGAAAAAAAAAATTACTTCCCGAAAATTAAAACAGAATAAAAAAAGAATTAAACAACAACAACAACATCAACAGCAAATTATACAAACAAGGAAAACGTTATTAAATTTCGGCGCAAATTGGTTCGAAAAAAAGGAGAATTCCAACAGTAGTAGCACGTCAAACGTGTACAATCCACCATGAGAATGCCGTTGACTACAGCCGAAACACTGCGAGCATGGATTTTATCAGCTCTTGTCGTTCATGGCGTGGTTCCTTGTTGTGCCGGCAATCCCGATGCAAAACGGTTGTATGACGATTTATTAAGTAATTATAATAAATTAGTGAGGCCCGTGGTGAACACTTCGGATGTGCTCAAAGTCAGCATCAAGCTCAAATTATCACAGCTGATTGACGTGGTAAGTTTTAAGTACCTACAATTTCACTGTTTATTTTCGGTTATCTTGAACAAAAAAAAATTTAAAAAAAAGAAGAAAAACGACGAGAAAAAACGTCAAAGATGATATTCATGTTTAGCTCATAATGAACTTCATTGACATCTTTTTCGCCTCGCTCCATCTCGCTCCTGTCATTTAATCACAGAAAATTACGTTCACTTTCGCTTACGAAAAAAAAGCGAAGTAATTTGATAACGCTAAAGATTGAAATGGGCGTTTTGTCGGATTTTCGGCCATTTCATTTAGATCGTGCCTTTAAATTAGTATTATTAAAATCATAACTTTTTTTACGCTCACCATAATAATAATCACCGAATGGCGAAAAGACAATATGGACCAAATGGAGGCAGAGAGAGAGAGATAGAGATAAAGAGGCACAGAAAAGAAATGGAGCAGTGCGCCATTAGGATTACCCTAATTTGCAAAATTATGTGTAGCATGAAAATCGGCTGCTCTGTCATTAAAAAACATAATAATAATGATAATTGGAGACTGTTTCATTGAACGGTGTCGCCGTTGTTGCCGTCACCATAGTCATCGGCGCGTTTGTCGTTATTGTTGCTACGGCTACTGAAGCTGATTGTGGCCGGAAAGAGACATAGCAACAATAACAGAGCTTTTATTACATTTGATTTCTTTTTCAATTTTTTTTTCTATTTCATTTGCACCGTATCTCGTTGTCTTTTTGCGATTTTCGTTCTGTGCGAACAATTTTCGACAGCTGGATTAGAGACAATTTCGCAAATCGTATGCAAAATGAAACAATGAAAAAGTGCGCGACGCGTTCCACACAAACATTTGCCACGAAATGAACGCGATACTCGATGAAGTCGGAGAAAACATTGAAATGGAAATTAAGTTTACGAGTAATCGAAATAAATTTACATAACACATTCAAGCGATAATTCTTCTATGTGCTTTTCATTCGCATCGCGCGGTTTCCTTCAACATCATCATATAATATCATTTAAATTTACACATTTGCGTACATCATGAGTGAACGCACAGCACTCATCATCCTCGAGCGCGTACACACACACACACACATACACACTAACCACCACCGCACAATGCAGCACATTACTACAATCATCCCAAAATCACACAACAACTCAGTTGAGATGGCTGCGACTTTTAAGATCCACCAAAATGAAGGAAAAAATATCGCGAAAAAAAAACAAATGAAGGCAAAAAATTTCCGTATTTTCTAAGCAACACGAATTGCCATTTCAAGCGCGCCATGAGCGTAACGTGTATGCAAAAAAAGGGCGAGCAAAAGACAGAGAAAAAAAATGAATAATAGACATTTTATTATAAATTGAACGTGCATCCAAGATCAGTCTCCCTATTACGTAGATTAGATTTTATGAGTTGATGCTTTCCCTACGCATCATTCCATTAACACTATGCGAGCCAGCTACACACGCGTCTGAGCGCGCTCAAACACAATCGAGTGGGACGAAACGGAGTGAGGTGGGTGGGGGGCGCATGCAAACCCATCGTACTCTCTTGCGACAAAACTACACAATATTGAAATGATTTCTATCGGTTTCAGTGCTGGCAAAACGTTCATCATAGATCTTCATCTAAATGTCAATCAACCGCGCGTTGAATTTGGCGCGTTGTATTTGGCTCGTTGCTATATTCTATGGTATGCCAGGCGCATGGAACCAACGTCAATGTACCGTTGATATGCATTAAGTTTTGCGCTAAGGTAGACAGCTTTCTCTCTATATTGATCTGATGACATTCTGTTTTTTCTTCTCCCGTGCTCACTTGCCATTTAACACTTACCAAAATCGCAATGAACATCGAGTGCCACTAAATAGACCAGATATTTATTTTATTTTTTCAGCGTGAATGTATGCTGTTTTCTTCTTCTTCTTCTTTACCTTCATTCTTTCTCCCCCACTGTTGTCTTGTTGTTGCTAATGCTTGCTCGCCACTTTCACGCCAAATAAACCAAGAACCGACGAATATTTTCAGGATATTGACCGTGAGCACCAGTGACAGAATGTAACATTAAAAAGTCGATGTGTTAGCTTAGTGGTTGGCACAGAATCGCTGACATGACATATATGAAACTGAGCAACGGTGACACAATGAACAGGGGAAAATTCGCCAAAAGGAACAGCAGAATGGGACAGAATGAAAAAAAAAAACACGCGGCGCGCATACGTTATAATAATTGGCATTTCGACTGATGACAGAAGTGCCAACAATACGTTCCAATCTATTTTAATATGAAGCTTTTCACAAAACTTTTACTACAAATGACAATTTAATGAAATATGCATAAGCTATGAAGTTGCCATTGTCACTGTCACCGTCGTCGTATCCGTCGCCGTCGTGCTACTGGCTTTTTGCTGCCATCGTTGTCGTCATCATAATCGTTGACGTCGTTTTCTGTATTACCATCGTCTTTTGTGCGAACACAATATAATATGTTGTTTGTTCGTAAAAAACTTTTCTAATTACGTACTATATATCATTCGATTATTAGTCTCTCCTTCTCTCCATCTCCATCTCCATCTCCATCTCTCGGAGCCGATACTAATGCGTGACTTTCATACCTTTGGCAATCCATTCTAATTGACAACAACCATCCTTTACGTTCTCTTTCTCACTCTCCTTTCCGACCGCTCACAATTGCTCACTACACTTTACACTTTACACTTTGTACAAAAATTTTAGCACATTTTCATCACATCGTTTCACCAATCAACCTCGATGTAACAAAAGAGTCCGTCGCTCCACTTGATTTTGAATGGCACAGATGGTTGGCTCGCAATAAAAACAAAACTTTCCCCATTTTAATTTTACAATTACGGCCTGATTTGCAGTGAATTCAATGACATTTTATCGAAGCATCCAAGTGAAAGACGCACAAAAGCTAATATTGAACTCACAAACAATGTGTTGGATCGAAGCTTGCACTGCAGAAGTGCCAACAACAGCAGCAACATAACACCCACTCCGGTTTTTCACAACTTTGGATTATTGATTATTAACTAGATCCAATCAATGGCCCGAATATTTTATTCAACTTCTGCACTCTCTCCCTCTCTCTCACGCTGCTCCCATCTTGGTCTCCCCTTCGATAACGAGCAGAATGAATTAAAGACACATTGAACAATGCGAACAAAGTCAGAATGTGATTATGTCGCGCGTCACAAATCAGTCGAAGCTAATTTCTCCGGCACGACCAAGTCAAATGCCATGAATGAATTAACAATTCTTGTTTTTTTTGCTATCCCTCTTCAGCTCAACACAATTTGCACTGAGAATACTTAACGATTTTCTTCTTCGTATTACGTAGCATAATGGAAAATTCTGCATATATTGACGATGGTTTAGAAGCGTTGTTCCGGATATGTATAAATGTGTTCTGTGCATTTTGTGGGTGTTCAAACATTCCAAAAGCTTGATTCCTAGAAATAACAGAGATAAAATCACTAGTCCAATACAATTGATGTGGACGAGAGAATGAGATGCGTACTATTTCAATGGTCACATACAAATACAAACACCCAATCTTTATATAAGAACAACGGAAATGCTACTTCATTTAATACAGCATCTAGACAATGATTCATTATCCCAATAGATTTGCTACTATTTTTGGTATTGAGTAGTTTTGGCCGAAGCAAATTGTTGCTTGGCCAAAGGTTTTTGTTTGAATTTGCGTCTCTGTACACACAATCCGCACACATTCCATAAGGTATGGCCATGGCATCCGAAAACAGCATTACCATTCCGTTTGTGTGTGTATCTTGAGTTGTCATTGAAGCAGGTATGAAAATAACCAAGCAAATCGAGTTGAAATGCAAATGTGCTACACATTTTGTAGCATTTCACAGAGTTCACATTTTCAAACCTCAACGACTGTGGGCTGTTTCAGGCCGATTACCATTTTTGTTGTTGTTGACGCTGGCTGTTGTTTCGATTCACATACAAATAGCTGTGTGAAATTTTCGAAATTCTCATCAAATTGTTATGTTGCTAGTGTGCTGTCCAACTCAGAAATGGGTATAATATAAATATCTTTGCAGTATTTATGGTTTGCGGTGTCGTTTTCTTTTTTTCCCGGCTTGTTTCTCTTCCGTGTGAGCACACACAGTTGAGTTTGTTGTTGAAAGATGGCATGCAATCGTAACAAATGGAAAACAAACATAATCAATTAAGAAAATAGAAAGAAAACTGATGGTTTTGCGGCACGAAAAGTGTGTTTGTATGTTCGGGTAAGCGTTTTATGCGTATGGGCTTGAAAAAATTTCCTGTCCGTGTTTCAAACTGAAACAAACTCTTTTCATTTATACCATTTGTTTCGTTGGAATTTCCCAATCATAATAAATATAAAGGGGATGGAATGGATGAATTTTTTGACTTTGATCGGTCGCGAGATGCATCTCGCGACCGTTTGTTTTCTCATGAGAAAAAAAAGAGTGTTTGAAATTTTTCCATTAAATTGGTGCTGCAAATGCAGCAAATGATGCTCATTATGAAATGAGATGGTTTGGGGCAAAAGCGCTTGACATGCAAATACAAAAACCGTTAGTAAAATTAATAGAAATTTGCATTATTCATAGTCGAAACGCCATCAAGACTATTACTCAATGGTGCAATGATTATGTTGCAAATTTGGAAAAACCAGCAGACCCAACGCATTCGGTCCGAATGTTTGCGCCAAAAATGGCCGAAAAAAAATGCGGCTAGCAACGGAAAAATGGGAAAATTTCATGGTTTCACTTCCTCTTACACCATTCCTCCGATTTACTTTTTGCCTTTGCTCGAACATGTCGATGGCGTTGGTTTGTTCGGAATCGATGGGGGTGGACCACTCATAGCATACAAATGAGCTTTCGGCCTCACAATCTATCGCCGTCACAACGCAACGCACAAACGCCGTTATTATAAAATCAATTCCACAAATTAAAATGCAATGAGTCATCATCAATATA